CCGGTGCCCCTCACTCCCGACCCGCAGCCCCTGCCAGCCCTGCCCTGCCCCCCACCAGCTCTGCCGGTGCCCCTCACTCCCGACCCGCAGCCCCCAGCTCCTGCCTCTGTCTCCCCCATCACAGGGCGGCCGGGGATGAGGACCGAGCTGTTCTCCAGCAAGTGTCCAGACACCATCATTGTCCAGGAAACCGACCGAGACTATCAAAGGATTCTGCTGTACTGTGAGTGGGGGCCCGGACGCCTGGGTTCTCTCCCTGGCTCCAGGAGGGGAGTGGGGGCTGGTGGTGAGAGCAGGGGGGCTGGGAGCCCGGAGGCCTGGGATCTATCGTTGTTCTGGGAGGGGAGTGGGTTCTTGGGGGGGGGGGTGCTTGGTGCCAGGACTCGTGGGTTCTCTGAGTGTCTCTCCCTGTCCTCCTTCCCCCCCAGCCCGCACCCCCGACCTGGCTGACGAGTGCATTGAGGATTTCCGGAGCCAAGCCTACTGCCTGGACATGGAAGAATTCCTGCTTATCCCCCGCAGTCAAGGTACCACCCGGATGAGGAGGCCTTTAGGGGGGTCCCCCCACCCCATTGGCCAGTGGGATTAACTTGGCGGGAAGGCGGTGGGTTGGGAGAGGGAGGAGATGGGGGGAGAGGGTTGGGAGGTGCTGGGAAGAAAGGAGGTTGTGGGGGTGAGGGAGCTTTGGGGGGTCAGGAGAGGGTTGGGCAGGTGTTGGGGGGATGCGTAGATTTGGGGGGGGTGGAAGAGGATTGGGGGTAGGTTATTGGGGTCACCAAAATGCTCACTGATGCACAACCCCACCCGTAAATCTCCCCCCCACACGCACCCCCTAACGCTCTCCCTCTTCTGCCGCCCCCCAGACACCTGCCAGCTTCAGGATTCCTGATTGACCCACTGCCAGGTGAGCCGAGCCTCAGGGCCCCCCCCATTCCCCAGGGGCCCCCCCCATTCCCCGCCTATCCCAGGGGCCCCGCACCCCCTGACCTGGCTGGAGTGTGCCAAGTCTCAGCCGGGTTTCCCGGTCCCCCTCCCCCGGCCCGGCCTCCAGAGACCGAGCTCCCCATTCCGGGGAGCGGGGGGTGGCTGGGATTGAGGTTTGGGGGGGCAGATCTCCTGGGGTCCCCCCCCCACTGCCAACTCTGCGGGGCCCGGGTTTCCCATCGGACGCTGAAATTGACGATTAAAGGCGCAGCCGGTTTTCCATCTCAGGCCTTTCTCCGTTTCTCTCTGCCAGCCCCCCCAGCTGCTGCGACTGGCCTGCCCCGAGGAAACAGCCCCCCCGAACACTGACCCCCTTGTTCGCCTGGAGGAAGAAACCCCATTTCTGCAGAGCCTGTCAAATAAATCCCAATCCTGCCGCATCTGTGACAATGTGTCCCTAAGCGCTGGTTTCGACTCACAGACACATGGGGCGTGGCCAGTGGTGGGGGGGCAGGGCTGGGCTAGCAGGGGGCTGCGGGTCGGGAGTGAGGGGCACCGGCGGGGCGGGGGGGGTCAGGGCTGGGCTAGCAGGGACCTGGTGCGACGGGGCTCTCGGCTCAGTCAGGGGATCCCCCATCTAGGTCGGAGGGTGTGGGCAGGGCCTGATGCGATTGGGTGGGGGGGAGGGGGACAGTCTCTGTTGGGACGCACAAGAAAACCATTCCCGGCCGGCCGCTCGCTGACTGTCAAATTTTCCATTTTATTTAAATAAAACACAGGTTTAAAACCCAGCGCAGGAGCCGGGCTCTGGAATCGGCTCTCGAGCGCTGGTCTGCATTAATCCACAGATAAAGGTCACAGATTTCCGCCCCTGCCCCCACGCTGCTCCAGAGCAGAGCAAATTCAGGTCCCCGCCTCCAGCGCCCCCACCCCACACCATAGCTGCTGATCTAGACCCCCCAGACTGGATTTGGGGCAGAGCTGGGGGGTTGCAGGCCTGGATCGAGGGGCACCAGCAGAGCTGGAGGAGGAGGCTGGGTAGGCAAACGGGGCAGGATCAAGTACAAAGACTTTTCTCAACTCAAAACTCCTTTCAACTGTGTTCTAGATCAGACACGTTCTAGATCAGGGTGATCTGGAGAGTGCAAGGAATGATTGTCTAGCACCACGCTGCTGAGAAAAGACAGCAGGAAACCGGTCTGGGTGGGGTGCAGGGTGGGTCATGCTAGATTGTCTCTGTGCTGGGTGGGTTAAGGGGGGGGGGGTTCTTCTAGAATCCGGTGTAGGAGCAGTCAGGGATGCTGGGAAAGTTGTTCTAGATCACACATGGGAGAAGGGAGTTTCCCGTAGACTCCAGAGCCTGAGGCTCATTCTAGGGCATTTCTGCGCAGGGCCGAGTGTGCTCTAGATTTTAGCACAAAGGGGGGTTGGGGTTCTAGACTGTGTCCCAGAGCATGTTCTAGATCACACGGGGTGTCTGGAGCAGTGTAGATTGAGAGGGAGGTAGTGGGGGCTGCGATAGATGATATCTCAGCAGCGAGCGCATGGGCTAGAACACAAGGCAAGCGGAGTGGACCTTCTAGATCCCATCCAAGAGCCGGAGGGTTCGTTCTAGATTGCAGAGTGACGGGGGTGCTGGTGAGAATCATCGTCATAAGGGGACAGAGTGTCCCCCAGAGATAACGGGCTCGCTCTGGACTGTGTGGCAAAGCGGGCACTTGGGGTTGCTCTAGATTGTGTCTAAATAGGGGCTTTGTTCTAGAGCTTGTGGGATGGCTGATGGCAAAGAGGTGGAGACCAGAGGTCTGTTCTAGGTCAGATGCCAGAGGCTTCCCACAGGGACTGGCTCTAGCCTGCAGACCAGCAGGCCTCCCTCAGGAGGAGTTCTAGATTATAGGGCCAGTGGGGTTGGCGGCATGTTCTAGACCATCACCGGCACCTCTTGTTTCTAGATCGGTCACCAATGTTTTGGATCATGCCTTGTATTTCCCGTCTGGGTTGTTCTAGATCACTTTGGCGTAGGGAGGGGATGTAGTGTTCCTTAAAGACCACGGCTCACACCCTGAAGGCTGGCTGCGGTGGTCAGTTCTAGATAACGTCACCACAGTGACATTGTTCGCTCTAGACCAGCGGCAAGATTGGAAGCGATGGCCGGGGGGAGGCTGGTCTATAAGAGAGTGACAGTGTCCATCCCCACCACACCTGAGCTGGGAGACCCAAGCCACGTTCTAGATTGTTCTAGAGTGGGAACATGGGATCACCCCAGCTGGGAGCCCGGGATGCGGGGGGGGGGGTGTCTAGACCTCCCCTCTCCCTCCGTCATGTTCTCTCCCTCTCACCCCCCATCTCCATTGTCAGACCTCTCCCTGGGGGTCCCCTCCCCTGGTATCCGCCGCCAAGGAAGGGTGTTATTGCTAAGAAGAGCCCCCCCCCCCATTGCTCCCCAAGCCCAGATCCCTCCCACTCCCCCCCAACACAGAATCCCTCCTCCCATGGCTCAGCTAGATCCACTCCCTTGGTTCTGACCCCCCGGATCCCGCCCACCCCCCATTTCTCCCTTCCCTGTGGTCCCAAATCCCTTTGCCCTCCCTGACCCGAAGCGGTTCCAATCCGCTTTCCCCTCCCCCCGCAGATCCACTTGCAGCTTGGCTGGATCCCAGCGGTTCTGATTGGTTCCTTCCCTGTAGTGGTTCTGACCCCCCCACACACACACATCCCCCAAACTCCTGAGCCAGCCAGTCCCCCGACCCCTCTCACAAGTGCCTGGGGGCGGAGTCTCAGGTCTCTGTACCCAAGGGGGGCGGGGCTAAGTCCTGGTGCCCTCGCCCCCATAGTGCCGAAGTCTTGTGTCTCCACGTGGAAAGTGGGCGGAGCTCGGTCCTCGCACGCACACCCAGACGCTGGTGACTCTGTGGTTTATTGCTGAGGTGCGAGGCGGACAGGTGGGGCTATCACTCCATCCTCTCTGCCTCTGCCCCACCGCCGGGGTCCAGTCCCCCCGGGCCGCCCCCGCTCTCCTCCTCCTCCTCCTCGGCGGCCCGGATGCTCACGCACAGCACCAGTGTCTGCAGGAAGCCATAGAGGCAGGCGAACTGCAGCAGGTATTTCTGGACCAGCCACAGCACCAGGTACATCCCGTAGGTGGTGACAAGGAAGGTGGCCAGCCCGTGGAGCCAGACTTTCAGGGGCCCCCTGAACCCCAAAATATCCAGGAGCAGCCGGAAAGCCGGGGAGCAGGCACAGAGCAGAGTCACCACGCAGAGGTCGAAGAGGTGCCGGGCGAAGTTGAAACAGATCTGGAAATGCTCCGGGATGTCGGCCGGCGGCTGGTGGGGGGACAGATACTGAGGGACCTGGGAGACCCTAGAGAAGAGGCCCTGTCCCGGGGCAGGGCCCGGATCCCCGGCGCGGCCCCATCCGATCAGAGCCAGGAGGCGCCGGGCGCCCCACCACTGCGATTTCCGGGGGGGCCTCCGTCAGCCCGCCCTCTTTTCCTGCCTCGCGCCCCCACCAGCGGAGTCTTGTCAGCCAGGCCTTGGCTCTGTTTAGGGACATGGGGGGAAACCGGCGAGAATCCAGCGCCCCAAATAAAATCAACACTGGGGTGTGGGGAGACGGAGGGAGCAGTGAGAGGGGTCCAGACCTTGGGGCACTAGCCAGCTCCCCTCTCCAACGCACCGGCCTCCCCGAAACTCTCTCTGGGGCGTTTTCCCCTCTAAAGCCGCCTTCCACAAACACCTGGTTAGTTCAGGGTCCCGTGCTGCTCCCCAGAACCAGACGTCAGCGCCTCGATTTTGCAGTATCGGGGACCCTTCACCACACAATAGCCACAAATTTCCTTCGCGTCCGGGTTAACTTCAGTCCCGCTGGCAGCTACTGTCACCCAAAGATCCGAATCTCCCTCAGCCGTCTCTGCTGGGCCTGGGGTCCTTCACCCCTAAACAGTGGTCCCTCAGCCAGTCGGGAGGTGTGTTGTCGAGGTCCAATTCTATCCACCGGCGCCAGGGCTAACAGAACCCCAAAATGTCCTTTCCACCCACACAGACAAATCCTTGTTGATTTCACCCCCTGAATTCTCTGGGCTGGGGGCAGAGCTCAGAGACCCCCCAAAATATGGCTCCTTGTTAATTTCACCCCCTGAGTTGTAGCCACTGGAAATGGTGCTAATTCACTCCAAAATGCAGGGTGGGGGGCCCAAAACACACACTGGCTGGTTCAATCCACCCCAACGCGTCTCTTCTGATGGCAAGAATTGTCCGCCCCCCGCAAAATACTGACCCTTGGAAAAATACCGATCTTCACCAATTTCACTCCCCTGACTCTCTGGGGCAGGAACCCCCCGAAATCCTTGATCCCCTGAAAGATCCAGCAGCTGGTTTGTTTCAGTCTCACATCCTCATTGCTGGGTCACCCCAGTATCACGAGTCCCCCTGAAACAGACAAGCCCGCATTAGGATCCAATCGCAGCAGGACCGATACACCCCAAAATACTTCCCCTTTGTCCTACACCAATTCTCCTGGCAGCAGAAATAAGACACCCTCAAATACTGCGCCCCTGAAACAGGCACATCCTCATTCAGAGCAGATCACAGCACGGTTCATGCACCCCGACATTTTTACCCCGTCTCTGAATGGTAAAAATCCTTCACTCCTTCAAATTTCTGTCTATAATAGAAAATCTCATCCCCTCACAACACACCCCAGCTGGTTAATTTCACCCCTACATTGTCAGTGCTGGTGGTCCCCTCCCAAACACGGGACCCCAAAATCTAGCAATCCTCACTGGTCAGGCGCACCGGTTGCCACGTCTAAGGGAGCTTTGCACCCCGAAACATTAATCCTCTGACAGACAAATCCCATTAAATTCAGTCTCTATTTCTCGTGCTGGTGGCAGTATGCACCCCAAAAGTACTGCTCCCCCAAATACCAGCTTGCTGATTTCACCCCATACGGTCAGTGATGGTGGTGGGGGGATACACCCCTGAAATATCAGGCTCACCCTGAAATGCCAGCTACTATACCCCACAGTCTGACGGGTTCTGGCAGGGGAAGCACCCCCAAAACACCAGCGGGTCAATTTCAGCCCCCCATTGTCAGGGAGGGCAGCACAGGTTCGCACCCCCCCAAAAAATATCAAACCCTCCCCGAAACGCCGGCGGATTCATTTCAAAGCCCCATCCTCACTGCTTGTTCCGGCGGGGGGGGGACACCCCGAAATAGGGATCCCCGAAATATACACCCAGACCATCGCTGGTTCGGGTACCCCAAACCCCGCTCCCACAAAACAACAAAGCGGGCGAATTTCACCCCAGACTGTCCGGGGTGGGGAAGTGGCGCCCCCAAAATCCCACCCGCTCCCCCCAGGTTAATCACCCCCCAACACACACAGCCCCCCCCGTTTCCAGCTCCCTCTGACCTGC